TGTCTGCCCAGCATCCAAAGCCCTGGGATGAATCTTCCATTCTCCCATCCCCCAAACACTGAGCTAGAAGCCTAGACTCCTAGTATAAGTCTCCAACAATATTAGCCTTTTTCTGTAATTTTCTTTCTTCCTTTTTTTAAATTGAGAATTTCACACATAAATACCATGAGATATGATCACATCCATTCTGCCACTATTTTTTTCCGTTTTGGATTCCTCATTTTCCTGGTTATTTCTATATTAAATATTCAAAGGAAATGAGTTGCTAATTGTTTGTTTTATTTTGTTTTAGCCGCATGGTATGGATACATGTCTTTAATAATCCCAGCACTCGGGAAGCAGAGGTAGGCAGATCTCTGTGAGTTCGAGGCCAGCCTGGTCTACAGAGTGAATTGCAGGATAGCCAGGACTGTTAGGGCCAGGTCTCGATAAACAACAAAAACAAAATTTTGGGGGGCTGAAAACATACATATCAGATACATGGATGGTTCCCCCCCCCCTTTTTAATTTTCTGTTTTGAGTATTCTGGGTGCTTTTACATTTCAGTGAACATACCTACTATAAATACAACAAAGTAAAGTGTAGGCTTAATCTTTTTGGGAAAGACCTATATTCTAAACTTATTTAACATTCTTAGATTGAAGGGTAAAAAAGCAACCTTAGAAGTTTCTCTTCTTCTTACTACATAGTATTCATCCTGATACTGCGTTTTCAGTGTGCTTCACACCGTAGGCACTAATACACACTCTAATATGAATTTATTTTTGACAGCTAGGCAAGTATAGACTTACTTTGCAATTTTTCTTAATTTATTTTTAATTTAATTTTTTTTTGTATTTTTTTTTTCGAGACAGGGTTTCTCTGTGGTTTTGGAGCCTGTCCTGGAACTAGCTCTTGTAGACCAGGCTGGTCTCGAACTCACAGAGATCCGCCTGCCTCTGCCTCCCAAGTGCTGGGATTAAAGGCATGTGCCACCACCGCCCAGCTATTTTTAATTTTAAAATATCAATCACATAAACTTCCCAACACCTCCTGTGCCATGTAAATACAGACTGCTAAATTTGTTCAGCATTGCTTGCATGCATTATATGTTTAGGTCTGATCGTCTCAAGCATCGTGTGGAATCTTTATCATCTCCAAAACGAGTGTTTTTTCTAAAGACGTATTTAAAAGAAAAATTTATAAAATATTTAAGAAAAAGGTATTGCCATGACCAATACGGGCTGTGTTTATAATTACTTGCAAGATCTAAAGGATGTGAATTGCTTCCCAAACGTTTTAAAGTCATTAACCATGTAAGGTTTAGGCTTACATATTATTGAAAGCTCAGGTCTTCAGATTGTCAGAGTCTGGACCTTGAGAAAAGAGTCTGCCTGCTGACACCTAAGAATTTAAACCCATGAATGTGTTGGTACCTTTCCAAACAACTCTAAAGGAATTTCACTCCTCTGATTGACTAAGGATCCCTGATCATCACTTGTACACAGTGTGCCGTCTAGGACAGTAAGCGGTGTATGGTGTGTTTAATATATTGAGAATTAAATGACCCCCAACCATCTCATATTTAGAAAAGGTATTTAACCTTCATTTAGGCATCTGCCCATTATGGCCAGGTGAACAAGCCAGCCTTAGTCCCGTGTTTCAGAGAATCTACAGAATAATTCCCTATCACACGGAGATATCATTGGAGTAATCAAAAGTTCAGTTCAGGGCTTTAGCAACACAAAGCCAAGGACGCAACTTGTCTGGAAAGTTCAGAAGTCTTCTGGGAAGAAAGGCTTTCTCAACTCAGATCTGAAGGATGAAGAGGAGTCCGGTTAGCTAAGAGTGGGCTCATCTGAGACAGAAGGGATGGTATGTGCAGAAGGGACTATTATGTTTACAAGCAGTAGGCAAGTGAACTTGGCTGGAAAGAGAGAGTCTGGATCCTCGGGAACCCTGCAAGGCCACGCTAACATATTTTTGGCTTTGCCTCAGAAATAACAGGACCTGGGGATGATGTTCTCCATTTTTCAAAATTTTTCAAAACTTCCAAATATGATTCCGGGCACTCAACAGTAAGGAATTAGACCACTGCCATACTAAAGAATAAATGTATATGTTTATGTGTGTTTATGTTTACCCAGGTTCCTGAGGTACCAAGGAGATGTTGGCGTGTGTGGCTCAGGAAAGGCTGCTGCCTAATGGTCTAGCTGGTAAATAAGAAAGACTTAAAGACTTATCAAATTCTATCCTATTCTAGCAAATGACTTAACTTTGGGGAAAGTGGCATAACCCTCTAACTCTGAAGTGGAACCAATAGTAGAGTAGCTACTCAATGAAGTTAGCATGAAAACTAGGAGGTAACACATGGAAAACACTAAGAATGGTGGCTGTCACAATGTCACTCACTATTCCTTATCACCCGTAGAAGAAGCAACAGCTGCGTACTATTTGATGTCAGCCACTACGGTTACTCTCCATTGTCAACTGTATTTTGAATCACTTTGGAAACAAGATTCTAGGTGTGTCTGGGACAGTATTTCCAGAACTGAGGAGGCAAGACCCACTCTGAGGACCCCACCACATGAACTGGGGTCCCCAGACTGAATCATGAGAAAGTCAGTTGGGCCATCACTAGTTCTCTCTCTCCTCCTCCCTCCCCCGCTTCTTTCCTCCCTCCCTCTCCCTTCTGACTGCAGACACAACAAGACCAGCCACCTCCAGGGCCTGCATCTCTCCTCGAACTAAAATAAACTCTTTTTAATGAGCTTTTTATCTGGCATTTGCTCTCAGCAACAAGAAACATCGCCAATAATCTGCAAAAACATACTAATGAAAGCCGAGCATTCAAAACCAGTGCTCTTGACTACAGAAAACATAAACTCTTTATTTGATCTTAGCCAAAAGACCGAGAAGTGATAAAAATTTGGGGGTTATGGATGCAGCTTAGTGGTAGAGTAATGTTTAGCACATGTGGGGCCTGACGCTCGTTCAATCCTCAGCTTAAGTAAATAAAACGAAACTTTTAAAATGCTAGCATTTTGTTGTTGTTCTTAACCTTTGTTTTTTGTTTATGCATCTATGTTTGTGCACCAGGTGCATGCAGAGTCGATGGAGGCCAGAAGAGGATGCTGGACGGCCCTGTAACTACGGACGGCTGTGAGCCACCATGTGGGTGCTGGGAACCAAACCCGAATTCTCTGGTGTTCAATCACAGCAAGAGAAAAGGAACTAATACACCAGCCAAAGGGGGACAGGCAAACTTGTACATCTGTCCCAAGGATGGCTCTGTGGCTGCGGTTAGCAGGTGCCATCAGGATTCCTTTGTCAAACTCACCCCACATACAGTTAGGAAAGTTACAGCATGGCTTCCTCTACAGCAGACTTTTTACATGATGAAGCAGAACTTCATTTGCTTGTTTAGGCATTCTAGAAAGGATGTTTTGACCCTGACAAGAGGTTGAGGAACGAAAACAGTATAATTGAAAAGTGACCTTTCTTCTTTTCAGCTCAACTTGTATTGATGAAGCCCTATCTTTTTCTCTGTCGTTTTCATGAACTTCTGAAATCTGCAGCATTTGCAGCACAAGGGCTGCATTATTTTCCAAAGCAGACGCTGATCCCTTCCCTCTCCACCGGGTTTATCTGCCATATTGAAGGGACTGTTCTCAGGATACCCAAGGCAAAACCAATTCTCTGTGCCTCCCTGCTCCCAGCTAGGGATGGAGGCAACACGGGAATTTCCTGCTTGGTTCACTGCTTATCCCAACACTGAAAAGAGCGTCTGGCAAACAGACGGCATTCAGTAAGTAACTGTAGAAAAATTCTTCACCCAACTTCCATGGGACAGATGCTACCATACAGGCAGGGAGGCAGCACCACTGTGTGGTATTGAGAAATAGGTTCCTAATCTCAGCCCATACAGGCATTCTAACCCTAGCAATATTCCAAGAATTAGTCTGCAGTTTACAGAAGACAAACAAGCCTACAGAATGCTGTGTAGGACAATGAACCTTAACTGATGAGGGGGAAAAAAACTTTAATGATTTTTTTTGCTAATTTATTTATTTTTAATGTGGGAGTGTTTTGCCTGCATGTATGTCTATGCTTTGTGTACACTCAGTGACTGTGGAAGTCAGGAGGACATCAGACCCTCTGGAACTGGAGTTACAGAAGGCTGTGAGCCACCAGGTAGATGCTGGGAATCTAACCCAGGACCTCTGGGAGAGCAGCCAGTGAGTGGTTTGTTTTTTTTTTTGTTGTTGTTTGTTTGTTTTGTTTTTCGAGACAGGGCTTCTCTAGCTTTGAAGCAGGTCCTGGAACTAGCTCTTGACCAGGCTGGACTTGAACTCACAGAGATCCACCTGCCTCTGCCTTCAAAGTGCTGGGACTAAAGGCGTGTGCAACCACAGCCCATAGCCCAGCTCCAGCAAGTTTTCTAACCACTGAGACATCTCTCCATCTCCAAGAAATCAGTATTATGCTTAGATTACATGGGCCAATGAGAGTTGAATTCCCACAAGGTCAATACTACATATTTGTAGCAATAAAAACCACACAGTTGGTACAGGCCACTCACTCTGTAGCGCGTTCCAGGACATAAGGGCTACACAGAGAAACCCTGTCTCTCTGTGCCCAAAGGACCAGACAGCAAACAGAAAGATTTCTGTACCGAATTTAACTTTCAAGAATAAAATTAATCCTAATTTAAGAAGTCCAGGTAGGGAGTTGAGCTTCAAGGGTCTTAGCCACAAGCTGTTCCTGAGGATCAGCTGTGGCAGACAACTGGGTGCTCCCTTGGAGTAGTAACACAAAGTTAGGGTGTTAGCTGTGCTGAGGAGTTCAGATTCACTTGAGAGTGAAGAGTTTACAGAGACCAGGTACCTGTATACCTACACCAGGCCCTTGGCACAGCCACACCAGGCCATCACCACGATGACACCAGGCCATCACCACAGTTATACCAGGACATCAACTCAGTTACACTGGGGCTTCCTGACTCCCAAGTCCACACTGACCTTTCTAAGAACTCAGATCTGCACGTTGAACACTTCAGAGGTTCCTCACAGTTCAGAAGAGTTCTAGGGCGTGGATAGAGTTCGCTGAATTCCTTAGACAGCCAAGATAAGTCAAACAGAAGCAAGTGATTGCTCTTGTGCTGTGGACAAACAAGTTGACCCATAATTAAAAGCGTGTACAACACAGTGTTTTCTATTAGTTAATATCGCCAGCTTGTTCAACTGATATCAAGTTCTGTTCAGCAACACAGCTAAGCGTGACACTTTCTGTCTGTCAAACTGAGTGTGGGTAACCATGCCAAATCATGTACCCATCCCAAAGTACACCGTTACATTGAGAAAAGACAGAGTGCCACAGAATTTGGAGACTTTTCTTTGGAAGATGATGGGCCACAGACAAGTTCACATAGGAGTCAGGTAAGTTCTAGAACTCAGATCAGTAAAGAACTGTTACCAAGTAGGGAATGTAGTTGTTCGAACACAGAACAGGAGCTCTTACCCACAAAGGCAGACGAGGGAGAACTGGGCATGAAGAATGCCAGACCTAATGCCATGAGCCTTTAGTGTCCTCTTTCATGGATTGAGGCGGTAAGCATACAAACGTGACAAGGCCCTTAAAAGAATTGTTTAATGGAAGGACTTCATATTAAGGGAAGAGCATTGAGCATGTGGTAAAGCTCATACGAATTTGGTAAATGAATAGAATCAGTATAGAGGCAGGCTACTCCTAAGGTCTTACAAAATGACTACAATTTGGGCTCAGGTTGAGGTGTGTGAAGGTCTCCTCACACTTCAGAGGAGCCCTGTTTACACTTAGGTTTAACACAGTCCTGCAGATCTCAACACAAGAGGCCTGAGCATCGGTGAAGGCCAGGTTGCCATTGTTAAGACATCATCAGAGGTTTCATTTGGATGAGTGAGAAGCCAAGGGCACATCACAGTCAGCACTACACAGAAAACCTTGCCCACCCTCGCCTCCATTCCCACAGCCATGGTCCTGCACAGTCAGAGCAGGAGGAGGTGGGGCTAGATTAGAAATACATATCCTCTAAGAAGGGAAGATGACTGAAATACAGCCAGGGGGAAACACTCCATGCCTTGAGGCAGGGGAGCACTCTGTACCCAGATCTGACAGATCTGAGAGTCGCCCTCTGGAAGAGAAGCGTCCTGGGATCAAACAGCTTAGAAGTGTATTCCGTCTTGATATGGTCACTCAGGTTCTAAGCTCTTGTAGTTAAAACATACATTACTGTAAATCAGGTGACAGTAATTTTCTGTAAATTTCTATTACCGTTAGAGAAAAAAAGTCTCAGCTTTCAAAGAGGGGTCTGTGCTGAATAGTGTTTACATCAATTTGACACATGCTAGAGACATGACCAGAGAGTTGTAAACCGAAACAGATTCTTTCAGCAATAGAAACCCTAAGAAAAGCAATGTCTTCCCTCAGGCAGCCCTGAACTGTGATGTGTTGAAACCCCGTGACTATTTCATAAAGTTGGGAGGAAACCCCGTCCCAGTTTGTCAACCTTTCCCGTTTAACGTAGCTAAGTTCTAGAGACTATTTAAGATTTTTCTCTTAAGGTAAAATGCTGTTGATTTCTCTACAATATAAAGACTGAACATACTTTTTTTATACACTGTGGAATTTCAAAATTTCAATATATGTGGACAGTGTGATCAAATCAGGCTAGCCAGAATTCTTCTCTCTCTCTCTCCCTCCATCGGTCTCTCTGTCACACACACACACACACACACACACACACACACACACACTCCTTCCCTCCTTCTGTGTCCCTGTCTGTGTGTTTTCACAAACATCCCAACCTCCTCCTAGTTATTTTGAAATGGTACAGATGGTAAACATTGCCGAGGGTGTAAATATGTAAATGGCTACCGCAGCTCATTTTCATTCTGATCCACGTGGCATATTGCTATAGAAAGCAGACATAGAATTTTCTACTTGCTGTTCACAGGGACGATGTGCAGCCGTGGGAATGGCATTAACCCTGCGCATCCCTGGACCTTCTGGAACCCATTGTACTTGTTCTACCCTACTCTGCATTTTCTTCCCAATCAATGTAGAAGAAATTCTATGAATGCAATTCTAGTGCTGTAGTTCTCTGAGAGCAATTATTTGGTCAATTGGTAGATAAGATAAGATTTGTTTATTTCCTTTCTGTGGGGCTGTAAGCACCACAAGAGGCACTGTTAGGCTTTTAACTGCCTTTTAGATACAAGGCCTGGCAGAGTTGATGGTTATATGCCAATATTTCTTCACTAACTCATGCTAAGAGTCACATGTTTAAAGTGGGCTTGGTGGCCTATGCTTGTAGCCCAGCATAAGACACTAAGACAAGGGCATTACTAACTGGAGTTGGCGACCAAGGGAGCCCTGTCTCAACAAACAAAGTGTCAATGTCTTGCAAAAAAAGACCAGAAGTCCCTGAGGTAATGGAAAGGGAGAGACGACAGCAATTTAGAAGTGCGGCACACAAGCGTGGCACTGAAAACCCTCAGAGGCAGAGTGTAGGGTGTGCCTACAGGTGTGTACCAAAGGGGGGCAGAGCTGGGCGTGGTGGTGCACACCTTTAATCCCAGCACCACATCTGAGTTCAAAGTCAGCCTGGTCTACACAGTGAAGGGCAGCCAGGGCTCCAGCATGAGACCTTGAGATTTTTTTCTCTTCCTTTTTTTTTTTTTTGTAAGAAAATAAGAAAAAGGAAAAAGGAGAAAGGAAAAGTGATGAGCCACTAATAAGGATGGGTGTGATCAGGGTAAAACTGCATAAAAAATGCTGAGTGTTTTCTAATTATAGACTCTGAAATTTAAAATATCTGAAAGGCCACCCTGTACTTCCCTGTGCCCAATACGGTCTGTGTCTGGACCATCCCGGGAGCAGGAGGCCACTCATCTTTTCCTTTTTAAAGCCCAGAGAGAAGGGGCGATTACAAGCTTGTGCCTCACAACCCCTGCATTCCACAGTGGGTGCGTCTTCCCTGGCTCAGTCTGGCTTTCCCCTCCGTGACACAAAGTAATCTCATGGGTGTTACATCCAAATGTCTAAAATAGAGGGAAAAATAGAAGCCATAAAAATGCGCCGTACTATAACAGGGAAAATTAAACTGCTTTTTAATTTTAGCAAATGCCTGTGAATCTTCATTTAAAAAAAAAAAGAAATGGTCATATTTCAACACTGGAACTGAAAAAGTATTTAACCTGACTAGTGAACAACGAAATTCAAATTTTAAAAACTACAATTTTTTCACTTACTAATTATCCTAAAAAAAAATAACCAAAATTATCAAACTGCTATTAAGCTGTAAAATAAAAGCGTCTTTGATTTTACAAATAGGAACAAAATTTACCTGAACGTATTAATCAGGACATTGTTAGTAACAATGAAACTCTAAAAACTTCTGCCTGTAACAGTTAAGAAACTGCTTAAGTTATAGTAAATACAAAAGAATAATTAAATACTCCGTCACCATGTATCATTGCAAGGTGTAAGAGGTTCATGATCTGTTCGTGGCTACAGAACAACGGTAGGGGTTTCCTCACCGTCCTGCTTTTTCTTGTTTTAGATTTCATTATAAGTCATATATCTTATGACTTTAAGTGTTTTGTTGTGATCAGAAGAGGACTCCAGATTCCCTGGAACTGGGGTTATTATGGACTGGATGGTTGGGAGCCACGATGGGGATGCTGGAAACTGAATATGCAAGAGCAGCAAGTGTCCTTTAACCACTGAGCCCTCTCAGCCCTCTATCCTGTTTCTTTAAAGTTCCATATGTAAATATAAAGATGGCAACAAAGAAAACAGGTTTATAAATTGTTTAAATTTCCCTCTTATTTTGAAATCAAATTTTCTTAAACAAAGGTTGCTATTATAATTAAGAAAAAGACTCAACACATCTGAAGAAAAGGAAAGAATAAAAAAGAAAGATGGGCCAAAAATTTCTGAGACAGATTTCCAATATCAGCTACCATAACAAGTCTCTATAAAAAGAAGTTCATGATAATAAGTCTTTTCAATTATCATCATAAACTGAGGACAGAAACAGCAGGCCTCATTTTCCCTGTGCTCATTACATATTAGGGTTGGGTGTTGGGGAAAAATAAAATTACTCAGCCATGGTTTATTAAAAGTTTGCTTTTAAGCAAGATACCACTTGTGGTCACACCGCCAAGTAGCAAGGGTGGTCCACACCTCTGCTTAAATATAACTTAATTACACAGTTGATAGATTTAAAGTACAATTCACGTATTTACTACAATTACCACTCTTACTTAAATAAAAATAAATCCCACCTTTGAAAATAGAAGTGAAACTGGGTAAGTAGCACTTGCCTGTAATCCTAGCGGCTGGAAGGTAATGGCGGCAGAAGGACCAGGAGTTCAAGGTTAAAGGTCAACCTCTGCTACACAGTAAACCCAAGGCCAGCTTGGGTTATATAATCCCGCCCTTTAAAATCAAAACAGAAAAGAAAATGAAGCTCGGTATAAAAATCAATCAAGAAAGACTTACTAAATGTGAAGAAACAGCTGGGCGGTGGTGGCGCACGCCTTTAATCCCAGCACTCGGGAGGCAGAGGCAGGCGGATCTCTGTGAGTTCGAGGCCAGCCTGGTCTACAAGAGCTAGTTCCAGGACAGGAACCAAAAGCTACAGAGAAACCCTGTCTCGAAAAATCAAAAAAAAAAAATATATGAAGAAACATATTTAGCCTATGGGCGGAGCTATATGAAGGTCTCAGATAGAAGAGACCTTTGGCAAAGTGGAGGGGTGGAGTGCAGTCAGTGAATGTGGAATTTAGGATCACTGGATCCTGTAGGACATGTACCTCAATAGGTTAATAAGTGGATGAACGGCTGCTAAGTTTCTCAGCAGAGTTAACACTGGACTCCCCAAGAAAGAGGACGCTGGATTCCCATCCATTATGGAGGTCTCTCTTGCTGGTCATTAAATTACAATAAAAACACATGTTAAAACAGGGAGGATGAGTGCCCAGAGGAAGGAAAACAAAAGGGTTAGCAGCTGGGTGTGAGAGCTGAGCTGACCGACAAGACTAGAGTGTGGCTGTGGTTATAACTCAAGTTGCCTTGATCCCTGACAGTAGAGTTTCCAGGGCTTCCCAGTAGCTT